TGTCTGTGTACATGGTCATGGCAAGGGGGGAGCTGGCTGGCTGGCTGAGCCATAGAGCTGAAGAGCTAAAGGTTTTAAAGCAAGGAGTATGTGGAACTGGTGCAAGAAAAGCAAGAAGGAAGATGAAGGTCTCTCTTTCTTGGCACAAAGCGGGATTTAACCATGCCCAGCATCACCTACCTTTGAAGCAGATGGGGGCTGTATGCCCAAGAGTGGCACCCATTCCCACGGCAGTACAGGACTTGTCAGGTCTCAGTGCTCTGCTGAGGGAGATGGGGCTCATCACTCACACGGCAGCTGGTCACAACAAATGGAGCAGTGACAGTCCTTCCCATGATCAATTTACATGCCTAGGGCTGGCACTGGACTGCAGCAAGAATGACTTGGTGGAGCCCTAAGCAGTGATATACGTGGCCTGGTGCCATGTGTGTGTCAGGTGGAGCTGCAGCAGCAAGAAACATCAAAGAGGGGCATTAGACACCACCTTTGAAAGCTGTTGTCTCCCATTGGTTGTGGACTTTGTTGCTGCTGCCAGTCAGCTATGAATGAGGAGGAGGCTGAAGTCATAGCCTGACTTTTTCCCATCCTCAACCCTGCAGTGAGAGGTATTTCCAAGTCTCTGCCCAGTGACTAAGCCTCAGCTCCTTGACAGCCTCAGCTGTAGTTCAACACCTGCCCGCCTCCAGAGGGAGTATATAGTGGTCCTGACACACTGGCTCCATGTCTGGTGGTGTGCTGAAAGGCTGATCTGGACACCCTGTGAGCCAAGGCCAGTTAACCAAATGCCTGGGCCAGAGGAAGCTGGCAGTAGCTTTCTCTGCTTCCCCACTGGGGAAGCGGGGCTTGTCTGCAGCACTAGGTAGGTGCCATGACTGCATGTTGGCTTCTCCCCACAGCCAGATTGAAGGTGTGATTTTAATGATTCTGCTACAAGCCCTCACCGTGCGTGTTTCTGAGGATCCATCCTCCACCTGCGCCCTTGACCAGGATGGAGCCCTGGACTGGACAAGTAAGTGTAATCTTGGGAAATGATGCTGAACACTTGGTTGCACCCCACGTACCCCCACTCTCCTCCAGGTCTCACTGTGAGGGAGCCTGCAAGACTGATTCCTATTGTAGCGTACCTCTTAGCCTTTCCCAACCTGATGGTGCACTCCTTGCTGCTCCTGCTAAACCAGGCCTGCAGGATTGAAATGGGAAGACCTCTCAGGTGCCATGAATGCTGCTGCTGGCTCTGGGTTAAAATTTCTTTTATGGCCACCCTGCAGAGACCTGAGCTTCACCAAACTGGAAAGCACCTGTTCTGGGCGGAAGACACTGTCCGTGTAGCACAGCCTGTGCTGCTTTGCAGTGTGGGAGGCCAAGACTGCAAATGCATTCACTGAAAGCTACTTCCCTTGCTTCCGCACACACAGCTGCCTGGTTTTGTAACATGCCAGTACAGCTGTGTTCTGACTTATTCCACATTTCCCTTCCTTTCCTAGCTGGTCAGGAGAAGAGACAGCAACTGAGATGAACAGGAGCACAAATGTGTTTTCACTGCAGGCTAAACCCTGGTCTTGATCTCTCAGCTGGTTCCTATTTATGCGATACTGACACCAAATCCTGGGGACACACTGTAAAAGAAAGGCTGGCAAGCACCTTTTAAATATATCCTACCTGGCTGAGCAGAAACTCCCTAGAACAAGCTCCACTAGCTGGCAGGGAACAAGACTTCACAATAACTGACCCCAAAAAGCAATCTGACTGCTTCATGTCTGAAAGCCTGGAACTCTCCATCTCACCAGATCAGAGCTGGATCTCATGATTAGGTACCTATTCCTACTCATTTTGTGGTCTGATACATGCAAGGACATCTGTGGAGAAAGGCATGGAGGTGTTTATTTGAGACACTGCTGGAATGAGAATGTAACTACTTCCAGGCCTCATTGCATAGCCTTTTAGATTTACTTTTTTTTTTCTTCAGAAAAGGTTCTTTCAACACAAATTTTTCTTTGATTAAAGTTTATACTTAGTGAACCTTTCCTACACATCCCTCTCAGATGATATAACAGGAAGCACTACCTGTGTGGACCTGTTCTCTTATGAAGCTCAAGTGTTTTGATTCATGCTTTCTTGTAATTTTCTTCACCACCCCCCAACACACAAATGTGTACACATACACAGAAACACACACTCCCACAAACACACTGTGTGCACCAGTGTAAGACCTCCAACCTCTGGGGTCATGCAGGACAAGAGTCCTGGAAACCTTCCACATTTCACCCAAATCCTCTTCACATGCCAGTGTTATGTGAGACAAGGTTTGGCTGTTACCAAACTGACATTGCCCCACTGTGAGCTGCACACTGTCCTCTGGGTAGTCCTTGGGAGGAGATCACCCAGGCTGTGCAGTTGCTGGGGGACTGACCTCTAGACTTCTGCACCCGCGGGGAGTTGTGAATTTGCCGTCTAAAAGTGTATCTTCCTTGCAGCTCCAGTACTGGTGCTGGCTGGCCTCTGCAGTGCTATGGCTTGTTTCTACGTCATCTTCTTCCACACTGACTACAAGCGGCTCCATGCTGAGACAAACAGTGGTGATTTGGTCAAGGCAGAAGATACAGCAACAGCAGATGTTCCTGAAGCCTAACCAGGCCAAAGAGGGGATGCCAAGGGCCCAGTAAGGGAAGGACTCAGGCCTGCGGGCAGGGACCATGACTGCATACGCTCACAGCTGGCACACTGGGATATCCGGGTCCTGTTGCACAATAAGCAAGGGCTAGAGCAGAGTCACTGCGGCACCTTTGCTGTGTTTCCCTCAATCTTGTATTTATTTCTTAGTCCGGGCTGTAAGAAAGGCTGCGCTGCCAGAAAGGTCAAAGTGGGACTGGACAACTATGCAGGTAACAGGGATTTTTAGCTGACTTGATTCAAGCTAAAGAAAGTTGCAGAGGAGAGGAGCATCATATTTCAGCCATTTTTTCATTTTCATGTACTTGGATCAGGGGTGAAGCTTTCAGAGGGGTGGAAGCTGTGCCTATCACAAACCTAGTGGAAAACTTCTGTTTAAGGACTATGGTTCTTGTACAGCATAACAACTCTTCCACGCTAAGGTTGAAGCCAATTGTGCCTCTTAGCTAAAGGGCGGTAGGAGCTAGAGCATCCTTCCATTGCAGCAGGGAAGCGTAGGTATGTGATCTGTAATACAAGTCTGTTACAATGGGCCACTTTGTCCTCTCCTACAAACAGGAAAAGAAAAGCCCTGCCTGCAGTGCCACCTGTAAAAGAAAATATCAGTAAGCAGCAGAAGTTAAATATGGCAGCATTCCTCACCCTTCTGGTCTGCTGCCAGATGCTGCGATGTTCAGGATAAGCTTGTTTTACTTGGGCTTCTGTTGTTTCTCCACCTCTCCTGCAATTCCAGTGGTTTAAGTTTTCCACAAGAAGATAAACTTGCTGGTGTAAGACTAGGGTAGTGTACCCTCCCCAGGCCAAGTCATGCTCTCCCATAGGGGGACACTGAGAGGGCAGCTCACTTTTTGGGGAATGATGCAGCAGTGCCTGGTGTGGTGGAAGCTGGCAGGAGAACTGCAAAGGTGACCACTTAGAGAATGCAGGGACCTGTAATAAGTTTCTGCAGATGATAGGGGCTTTTGGGGGAAGACCAAGTAAGAAACAGCATCAACAAGTACCTTCCAGTTCTCTCTGCAACTGACAGCTGTTCTTCAGTGTTAGAAAAGATGGGTAGTGAGACAAAAGATCCCATCTGGAGTTCAGTTACCCTAACAATTGCCATGGGTATAAATGGATTTTTCATTTTACAGTACTTCCACAGAAGTCCAGTGTCCTGCTTTGGTGTTCAGGTCTAGATGTACAACCTGAGACCTTTATACCCTACAACATTTCAGTGATAAAAAAATTAGATAGATGGGACTTGATGATGCTTCATACCATGCATCTTGCAAGGGATCTGAGTACTTGCTGATTAAGGGAACTTGATGCAAATTGGACCTGTGACTGGCTTTGTCCAGTCCAGCTAGAGGATGAACCTGAAGCAAAGGATGCACTTTCCCTGAGGAACACTGTACAGAGGAGCTCCCTCAGTGTCTGAATTATCTTCCCCATTAGCAACTGGAAATCTCTCCCTTTGTAAAACACCTAGCTGCATCCTTCTAGGGACCCTGCTAGTTTCTACAGCTCCAGCCTTGATCTCACCAGTAAGCGCTGATGTTTGTCAAAAGGAGCAGGAAGGAAGTCTGAAACTGCGGTGAAACAGCATCAATTTGGACCTGTCAGAGGAATTAGATTAGCTGTCTTTTCTAAAACTAGCTGGTCAGTTCTGCAGCCCTGGACCTAATACACTGAACAGATGAACACCAAATTTACCTGCCATTCCTGAGTCCTACTGTACTGGGAAACAAGAAGCACTTGGTACTTTATAATTTTATATATTTACAAATGCTTATGTTTTTTAATAAAGGGTGGTTTAAGAAATTATTAATCTTTTCTCACTATGTTAAACTTTAAAAAGTATTTTATAGATGCAAGGGTGCATCAGATCTGCTATGTAGCACAAACCAAAGGTCTCCCTGTTTGCCAGATGTGCATTAAGTTGTGCTTAAAATGATGATGTGAAGTGGTATCTCAGATCCTTAAAATGGCGGTGTGAAATTAGCTGTAGATGAAACTACAGTTAGCTGTATTTTGAAGGATAGGTTAAAGGAGTGAGGAAATACTGCTGGCAAATGTCTCCAAATTCTGCCATTGCCCTGGTCAGAGAGTCTGCCTTGCACCAGCTAAGACACTCTTCTCTTTATCCAAGCATATAAAAGGGATTTGAAAGGGGAGATTTTTCTCTCTACTAATGCGTCAGACATATAGGTGTGTGAGGTTAATTCTGGATTCCTAATGTGTAGTGGAGCAGGTTGCTCCTCCACTATACGGTTTGTCATACCCTAGCAGCATGCCACAGAGGCGTTATGGCACTGCTAAGAGCAAGGTCAGATAGCTCACACAAATGCCTACCTTCATCACAAATACCAACCTACATCAGCTGTTTCTGCTGGCTCAGCTAACTTCACATTTTGCCTTTAGAACAAAAGAGGCTTAAATTTCTGTTCTGGCCTGTAATTACCACATAGCTGAAGTCAGCTTACTGCTATACACTCTTCCCAAGGCTGCGTAACTCATCTGTCTCTCACAGCTCACATTTAGATGTGCCTTTCCCTGGAAAGCCTATGGAAAGCATGAAGCTGAAATCTTAGCAGGACAGGGGGACTTCGATGTTAAGGCATGGGTCTGGTATGCTGGGGGGTGGACCCATGTCCTCTCCCTGTCAAAGGAGTGATCTGGCTGCCTTAACAAGCCTTCTGTGACCCCAGTAACCTCAGCAGAGGCCTCTACAATAGGTCTGTAGGGGTCACCAGAAAACTGGTGATGCAGAAAGCCTCCTGCAAAGGTGAATGGTCCTGGCTGTGGTCTGGTCTCCCTAGAGGCCTTCTGCTTTTGTAAAGCCAAAGGAGAGGGACATAAAGGTCAGCCAACTGCTCCCATCACAGCTGTGGATTCTAGAGAAGCTCTCTGACATAGGCAGGGTTATGTATTCTTGCCATCCTGCACAAGGTTGGGGCCAAGACAACACTTCTGTTGCAAGAAAGGTTGTTCCTCTTGCACAGCAGCCAGTCTTGAGGCCCCTGGAGCCACTCAGTCCAAAGGCTTTCTGCAGGGCACTATCACAGCCTGTCTCTAGAGAAACTCTGCTTGGTGAGATACCCCTACATGCTTCCTGCAGCCCCTCAGAACAGCCAATTCCCTCTGCCCTCTTTCTGCAGCCTCTCCTGAGGACTGCATGGGGCTGGCAGAGGGAGGTCAAGTTCACATGAGCCTGGGGGTGAGGTATGCTGCAGTCTGAAAACCAACCTGCCCACCCTGTTCTGTACTGGCCAGACTTGGCTGTAGGTGCCAGGAAGGCAGAACGGGCAGGAACTGTACTGGAAAAAAGCAGCCCCAAGGATGCTCTTGTGAGTACAGCTGCCTCACAAGAGACCTGTAGAGGGGCCCAGGTGAGACCTTTTGTGCTGCCATGGGATGAGTTGTCAGTGTCCAGTACTCCATGCTGCACGTCTCACAGTGGGCAGTGGACATATCAACAAAGTCCTTATTGCCTCCACAGATATTTGCACACCAGCACAGGAAGGCCTGCCTGTACAGGATTGTAGAGGTCACCCTGGCTGGAGTTGGGGCAGAGGTTGTCTACACTGTAATCCCCCCAAGACCAAACAAAACTAATATTGGTGCTGTCTTTTTAAGTAAGTAAAAGCAGACTTGTCATCAAAATGTTAAAAAAAAATCCAGGGAAACTTTAAGGCAGAAGATACCTTTTGTTTCTTCAAATGAAAGAAAATATTGTAGAAAAAAATCCGAAACCTGTGTATAAACTGTATGGATATTGCAGTGATTGGAGCTGGCAGTGAAAGCAACACATCATGAAAAAAACAAATTATGACAACGGCTGGAGTAGCCATTCTGTCAGCTGTTATTGCCCCTTTTTGGGACCACTGTGTTTGAACACCATTAGCCCTGAGCAAAGAGACTCAGTAAGCAGGACAGATACAGGTTGAAAGTCAAAAGCAATTATACTTTGGAGATACAGAAAACCTTCTTGTGCCTCATGCCTTTCTGAAATAGAGATTTATTTTCTTCCAATGCCCAGACCCTCAAGACCTGTTGTCCACTTCTCACCTTCATCTACACCCCTCTTTAGATCAAGTTTGTCACAAGGTTTTCATGGCCTACCAGTGAAAGCAAACTGTAATTTAGCTTTCTGGAGCTCTGTGAGGCTGCAGCTCTTCGAAGGAGCATAAAGCAGCAGCTAGCATGTCCAAGTTCTGCTTGATACTCTGCAATCTTAAATAAAATAAACATCAAAAGCAACTAGTGCTTTAAAACTCCCCAGGAAATTTTATCACATGTTTAAAACAAGTGGCCCTACTTGCAGCTGCAATGTGTTCACGTGTGTGCCTGCTTTGCAGGCAGCTCCCTCAATAATTTTGGCTCAAGTCAGATGGTGGTATAGGATGGAAGAAAATATATCCCAAAACCACATGTGCTACAAAATGGGAACAAAACTAGATTTCTTGGGAGCTTTTGTGGAAAAGGAGCCCAGAAGAGTGGTAAGAAAAATACTAACTAGCTGAAACATCTATTATAGTACTTTCTGCCTGGATACATTTCCCTCAGGTACACCCTCTGTGATCCTACTTCAGGAACTCCAGGCTTTATTAACATATGGTGGATAGTACTGGCATTATTTAGTTTGCTACATCATGTTCCTTTAATAGAAGAGAGTGATTTAATCAAGTGCATCCCCCTGGAGAAGGAGGGAATAACACAGCATGCCTGGAAGAAGAAACTCTGTAGAAATCTGACTCCACTTCATCCTGTCTATTTTGCCTTATCTCTTAGTTTTAAAAAGTGACCTGCTCTAGTTTCTGCTCCCCCCAAAAAAACCTAATCTCTCTCTGCGCCCTGCTCCAAAGCTGCTCTTTTGAGCTAAAAGCCCCCTTGGTCTCTTTGGCATGCTTCCTTGTAAGGAGAAATCTAGGCAGAACGACTTCCAATCACCAAAGCTCCACTTTAACCTTACTACTA